TGCTGCTGCTTCTCCTGCTGCTGCTGCTGCTGCCGCTGCTGCCGCTGCGGCGGCTGCTGCTGCTGCTGCTGCTGCCGCTGCTGCTGCTGCAGCTGCTGCTGCTGCTGGTACTACTACTGCGACGACAACTACTAACTACCACGACGGTTGCTACTACCACTACTACCATTATGACCACTTCCAGCACTACCAGCAACGCTGCCAGCAGAAACACTACCAGCACGACACAAATGCGACCACCACCAGTCACTACCACCACTAGCACCGCTACCGCCACCAAGAGCAGATTCTCGTCACCAACAGACGACAACGAGAAATAGGACTTTTCAAGGGGATAGGATTTTGAGAGCCCTCCGGGATCAGGTGCGCAAGTGAGCCGAGAAGCCTTCCAAGTTCCCAGAGCGGCATCGGCAATTCTTTGATCCGAAAGCCGTGGTCACATCACTACGACGACGACGACGGCTACAATTCGGATTTTCTTCAAGGGGTTGAGATTTGGAGATCGGATGTTGGATCGTACCGGTGGGTGAATCCTGGGGACTAGATGATCTGGCTTCGAGGCTCCAGGTCATGCAGAGAGGTCCACAGCAGAACAAAGCATGTGACACCGACTTGCGCCAATTCCAGGTATATATAAACACTAGGAAGCTTCGCACCCTCCGGAAGATGCTTAGGATCCCAGCACAATTGCCCATAGACCGGCCTTCCAAACATCTCCCGAACAACAGGACGTCTCATAGTTGGCAGTTTGAAGTTGTAGACTAAACTACGAACTGCTTGATTAGGATCCAGATAGCGTAGCGGTCACAACCTGACTGAGGCTTGAGCCGCATAAGCTTGATTCCGTTTCTGGCCTCGTAAGGGAGGAGGGGAGGGAAAGGTGGTATTCAGGGTTTCAGGCCGCATCCAAGGACTTGCGTCTTTCTGAATGAACTCGCGACCCGCTTGAGGTTGAAACAGGGGCAAGCTTTCCATGGCACGTGATGGGATGGAACAAATATGTCAGTATGTTCTGCATGTTGGGATCATTGAAATCAGATCTCATGTGCTTTCACGCTGTTCTGTCTGGCTTGCTGCACTCTCCTTCTCATTCGGAGCGTCCTGACACACAGTCTTGAGGCAAACGCTCGCTTTTTGATCGTTTTGCGCGGGCGGGGAACACATTTAATGTGAATAACGTTTGAGCTTATGCTGCATTCTTGCAACCTCAAAGAGGGCTACTCGAGCAGCCGCCCGCGGGGATTCTGCGGCCTGTATCATCAACGGTTGCCATGCAGAACTGCATGAAGCACTGGTCGTGATCGAAGATCCTGGTACACAGACACTTGCAAAGAGGATCCGCCAGCAAAGATTTGGTGGCCAGTTTGCGATTCTTCAATGCGGCAGTGCTTGGATTCCTCTCAGTCACTATATCCGCGCGGGCACAGTCGAAGCATTTCCGAGACACTGACGAGACATGTTGTGTGGGAGATGCTCGTCCTCCGCACACTTGATTCTGCATGACATGCCGTTTCAGAATATCATAGACTTGCTCGTCGTTCCTTGGCATTTCGGTTCAAGTGCTTCAACATGTGGCTGCTCTTGTTGTATTTGCAGCAAGCAGCAGAGAGATGTTCGAGGTTTGTGACAAGTCCGTTTTGGGGAAGTTTGGCTGGGACGTTGGGATGATTGTTAAGCATCAACTTGAAGGCGAATGTGAAGCAAGCGGCTTGCATCGATGTTGGAGCGGGGTTGTGAATGCTTGATGGAATTTCGGTTGGCCTTCTCACAGCCCATGAAGATCCAATGCACCACATTGATGCCGATGGTTGTTTCAACTGTGCGTGCTTTGAATCTTATGAACGTATGGCAAATGTCGGGTTACATCCATCGACTATTCATACTCTGCAGAATCAACTTCCAACTGCCGGTTGCGGGCAGGGCCGGGAAATCGTGTTATATGCAGCCGGACGTAAGTTCAGATGAGAATTTGTCGGATTGTTCAACACGATACCGCTGTGCTGCACGCGCAGGCCGGTGCACTTTAGGGGGGCTTCTTAACATGGCAGCTGCTGAAGAAACGGCTATGGTTCACTTCTGGTCAAGCACTGAAGTTGAGCCGAACATTGAGTTGGCGTGCGCATTGTAACACGGTTATTGTTACACTGACAGTTTACCATGTGTATTGGAGTCTGCTTGATCTAATTTTATACTTAGAGCAGACTTAGCGTCATTGGCTCACCCAGCAGGGCCTGTTCGCGGTTGAGCTGTTCATGGCAAACTCAACAATCAGTGAGTATGCTTGACCTTGACTGGCGGAATGGGTCACAGGCTGGACGGCGGAACTGAAGCAAGTGCACTGACCGCGGAAAAGGCTCAGTTGTTGAATGTCACGTCGTGAGACGCGTCTTGGCTGCTGCCTCCCTCTGAGTGAGCGTGTGTTGCTGCCTTTGTAGGAGCTGCCAGCCCCCGCATCGTTTATCTTGATTCACGTAGTGCAGGCTAGGACGACAGCGCGAAAGCAGGCTTTCACGTAAATCTGAGGTCTGTTGTTGCTGATTTCTGCTCTTGTCTTGTGGTTGTGGGGCTTGCATGCAAAGTGACCTTGCGCGCGTCTTCGTGGGGCGGCATGCAAGGAAGAGAAGACGATCCCATTGCGAATCCGCGTCAAAAAACGGGACTTGTCCGCGTGCAGCACCGGGCTTTCGATCAAGGAGATCTTTGAGCCGCATCAAGTCATCGCTTAGGTCGGTTCTCAAGAGGACTAGAGCCGAACGTGGAGCCAACAGCGTGAGGAGGTCTGGAGTCTCGGATCCTAGAGCCTGGAGCAAATGGAAATTTACCAGGCCCCGCCGACTGTCTTCAAAACACAGGCTTACGTAGGGGGGCACGTGTAGAAGGCATATGTTAGACATGGTAGCTTCAGTTTGAGACTTTTGTTGTGATGGAAGCCGCGGCCCCTACGTAAGGGGTCCCCGCAAGGATCTCCATGACAAGTGTCTTCAATTAGAGGGCCCCCCTCTTTGCAACAGTTTTATTGCCGAAATTCGACATCGTAACCGGGCTGCCACCTTCCACGAGTTTTGGATGTGAGACTAGGAAGCGTCCTGCACGCATGGCCTGCTGCATGTCGTCACTTATTGCCGCGCAACATCCCTGTCTCAAGGTTTCGAAATTTTTAGTGTGAAGGAATCGAACCAGAATCACAGAGATGTTCTCTGAGCCTGGCGGCCGGCATGTGGAGGCGCAATCGGCAAGAGAGTCATTAAGCTTCTGCCGGCAGACCCCCAGGTTGGACGATGCCCAAGCTCATCACTGTCAGCTTCTTGCTCGAAGTCTTACAACATGGCTGCTTCCGATTGTGCTGTTGCTCTGCGCCATACCCAGGAACTCCTTGCAAGCTTCTGGCAATAACCCAAAAAAGCTATTGTACCCTACCTCAAGTTTACAAGGTGGCTCAGGCCTTGCCCGGTGTCTGCTACCGAAGCAGCTGTGGTTTCCACGTGCATTTGCGAAGGCATAGCCATAGCGGCGTAGCACTTCGGGATCGCCAGTGTTTCTGCATGTACCCCTGCACTTACGCGGCGAGTCTTTGGACCAGGTGAGGCTGGTTTGGCTGGTCCCGATACTGGCCCAGCTGGTTGAGGCCGCCGTGTAGCAGGGAAAGAGGTCGAGACAGAGCAGGGGCAAAGGTCAACAGCTTCTCTGTATCCAATGGTGCCAAAAGAAGTTCGATGCTTAACCTGAGCAGAGCGGCACACATGTGCGGTGCAGGCGAACTACTGGGAACAGCTTAGCCCGAGCACGGCGCCACCCGAGCGGTATGCCCACACCGCGGTGTGGAGCGCGGCTGCGAACGGCTTCTACGTCTTCGGTGGGAATGATGGTAGCCTGGGCCCTGAGAGCTCGTCAGGGGCTCAACCTGCGATGCTGCATGATGAGGGGTATCACTGAGGCAACGTGGCTCTTCCCGACTTGCGGTTCTACGGGCGTGAGGCCAGTGAGGGCCATCGCTTGCTTTTGGCTCGTCATGGCTCGTGCAATGCAAGATTCGAGTGCTAAACACTATAGACTTCCCGATCCATTATAAGCGACAACTAAGGAGGCACTTTTTTTGTGAAGTACTGGCAAATCCCAGCACCGCAGGGCGTTCTCCTTGGGCCAGCTTCCATGTTTCGATTTGATCTACACTGCTACATACAACTTTCCGCGAAGATATGCTCAGCATCAGACATGTCTCGCAGGTGAACAGCTGGGAACAGACTAGCTCGAGCGGCCCGTACCCGTACGAGCGGATGTGGCACAGCGCGGTGTGGAGCCCGGCTGCGAACGGCTTCTACGTGTTCGGTGGGATTTCTGATAGCCCGGGCCCTGAGAGCACGTCAGGGGCAGCACAGCAACCTGCGATGCTGCATGATGCTGCGTTGCGGTGTGTGGGGGGGATCACTGAGGCTATATGCTCGAATATTCTGCCGGCGTCGTGAACACCTATATTGAGGACAACTTGTGGTTCTACGGGCGTGAGGCCAGTGTTGGCCATCGCGAGCTTTTGGCTCGTCATGGCTCAATGCAAGATGCGAGTGCTAAACACTTCCCGACCCAGTAACCGACAAGGTGTAGACTTACAAGAACTGCTGAGGATGCGCTGTTTTGTGAAGTACTGGCAAGTCCCAGCACCACAGGGCGTTCTCCTTGGGCCACCTTCCATGTTTCGATTCGATCTACACGCAATTTTCCACGAAGAGATGTTCAGCATCAGACATGTCTCGCAGGCGAGCAGCTGGGAATATCTTAGCCCGAGCGGCACGACGCCACCCGAGCGGTATGCCCACACCGCGGTGTGGAGCGCAGCTGAGAACGGCTTCTACGTGTACGGTGGGAATGATGGTAGCCCGGGCCCTGAGAGCACGTCAGGGGCTGCACGACAGCAACCTGCGATGCTGCATGATGCTGCGTTGCGGTGTGCAGGGGTATCACTGAGGCCACAAATATTATGGCGTTTTGGATGACTTGTGGTTCTACGGGCGTGAGGCCAGTGAGGGCCATCGCTTGCTTTTGGCTCGTCATGGCTCGTGCAATGCAAGATTCGAGTGCTAAACACTATAGGCCTCCCCGTCCCATTATAAGCGACAAGTAAGGAGGCACTTTTTTGTGTGAAGTACTGGCAAAACCCAGCACCACAGGGCGTTCTTCTTGGGCCAGCTTCCATGTTTCGATTTGATCTACACTGCTACACGCAACTTTCCACGAAGATATGCTCAGCATCAGACATGTCTCGCAGGTGAACAGCTGGGAACAGCTTAGCTGGAGCGGCTACGAGCGGATGTGGCACAGCGCGGTGTGGAGCCCGGCTGCGAACGGCTTCTACGTGTTCGGTGGGCATGGTTCTGGCCCGGGCCCTGAGAGCACGTCAGGGGCAGCACGACAGCAACGTGTGTTGCGGTGTACGGCAGTGTACGGCTGGGATCACTGAGGGCCTGGACATGTTCTCGGCGACTTGTTGTTCTACGGGCGTGAGGCCAGTAAGGGCCATCGCTTGCTTTTGGCTCGTCATGGCTTATGCAATACAAGAGTCGAGTGCTAAACACTTCCCGACCCAGTAACTGCATAACCGACAAGGTGTAGACTTACAAGAACTGCTGAGGATGCGCTGTTTTGTGAAGTACTGGCAAATCCCAGCACCACAGGGCGTTCTCCTTAGGTCACCTTCCACGTCCCAATTGGATCTGCAGGCAATTTTCTACTAGTACGAAGAGATGTTCAGCATCAGACATGTCTCGCAGGCGAACAGCTGGGAACTGCCTAGCCCGAGCGGCACGGCGCCACCCGCGCGGTATGGCCACACCGCGGTGTGGAGCGCGGCTGCGAACGGCTTCTACGTGTTTGGTGGGAATGGTGATGGTGGCCTGGGCCCTGAGAGCACGTCAGGGGCTGCATGATGCTGCGTTGCGGTGTGCGGGGCGGGGGATCACTGAGGCTCCTATGTTTTTAACGACTTGTGGTTCTACGGGCGTGAGGCCAGTGTTGGCCATCGCGAGCTTTTGGCTCGTCATGGCTCAATGCAAGATGCGAGTGCTAAACACTTCCCGACCCAGCAACCGACAAGGTGTAGACTTACAAGAACTGCTGAGGATGCGCTGTTTTGTGAAGTACTGACAAATCCCAGCACCACAGGGCGTTCTCCTTGGGCCGCCTTCCATGTTTCGATTCGATCTACATGCAATTTTCTACGAAGAGATGTTCAGCATCAGACATGTCTCGCAGGCGAACAGCTGGGAACAGCTTAGCCCGAGCGGCACGGCGCCACCCGAGCGGTATGGCCACACCGCGGTGTGGAGCGCGGCTGCGAACGGCTTCTACGTGTTCGGTGGGAATGATGGTAGCCTGGGCCCTGAGAGCACGTCAGGGGCTGCACAGCAACCTGCGATGCTGCATGATGCTGCGTTGCGGTGTGTGGGGGGGGGGTCACCGAGGCAGCCGCGCTCTCCTCAACGACTTGTGGTTCTACGGGCGTGAGGCCAATGAGGGCCATCGTCGAGCTTTTGGCTCGTCATGGCTCGTGCAATGCAAGAGTCGAGTGCTAGACCCAGTAACCGACAAGGTGTATAGATTTGCAAGAAATGCTGCGGACGCGCTTTTTTTGTGAAGGACTGGCAAAACCCAGCCGCAGTCTGTTTGGTGCGTATGGAATGGATGTAAGATTTGGCAGCTTATAATCAACAGAGCTGAGGGGCAGGTGTTCTGTCTTCAAAGAAATTCAAGCCACTGAAACTGTTGATGTCTAGCAAATCTTCAAGCCAGGCCACCAGCCAGGCCACTGCCACGACCAGCAGCAGCACCACCAGCAGCACTTCCACTGCCACGACCAGTAGCAACACTGCCACTGCCACTGCCACGAGCAGCTCTGCCACTGCCACGACCAGCAGCAGCACGGCCACTGCCACGAGCACCAGCAGCACGGCCACTGCCACCGGCACCAGCAGCTCTACCACGGCCACGAGCACCAGCAGCACCGTCACTGCCACTGCCACGAGCACCAGCAGCTCTGCCACTGCCACGACCAGCAGCACCGTCACTGCCACTGCCACGAGCACCAGCACTGCCACTACCAGCAGCACGGCAACTGCCACGACCACCAGCAGCTCTACGACTGCCACGAGCACCAGCAGCACTGTCACTGCCACGGCCATTAGCAGCACTGCCACTGCCACGAGCACCAGCAGCACCAGCACTGCCACTGCCATGACCACCAGCAGCACTGCCACCAGCCGCAGCAGCAGCAGCAGCAGCAGCAGCAGCAGCACTGGCACTGCCACCACCACCAGCAGCGCTGGTACTGCCCCTCAGGGCAGCTCAGCCAACCCTGGAGGTGTGCTGTATCACAGGCACTGCGATTCTGAGACCGTGATACCGGTAGGGCTTTGCCAGGACTGCCCTGCCCTCCGGGCCAACGTGCGGGAGCCCCAAGCGCCCGCCGGTGCACCTCAAAGTTGAAAGTTGACCCCAGGTTTGTTCCATCACATCCTACGACCTTCATGGCTGCGGCCCTGGAAAATTATGGGATGTTCTGGGATGGTATGAGCACGAGGGGCTGCTCGGAACAATGGCGAGGCCAGCCGACAGACCTGCCACCGCCCGAGCAGCGTTGCTTGAACGGGTCTTTGCCCAGACCCCAGATGATAAAGTTGTCAGCATGTCATCCGGAAGATTTTCTATGAACTTGGTCAGACCGGTGGTGTTTAGATGGTTCGGCCAAGTGACCGTAGCGTTTCTGAGTTTCAAGCAGTACCATCGCCGTGCGATACCCGTGCCTCGCCGGCATGGATATGCCCGAAAAAGGCGATTAGCAAGTGGTCCTCTAAGCCCTTTTTGTATGCACAGCTTTTGAACCATGAGCCGAGACCCTGCCCCTGCAACGACCTCCACGAGTGGGTCTGTCGGGATCTCAGGCCGTTTGGCGAAGATGCGTTGTTGATGATGATGGTGATCATGCCTGCACTCCCCGTAGTTGAATTACCCGCACATCTTGGACACTTCCCTGTTCCTGCTTGATTTGGCCGACCCTGTCTTAGGATGATCCCCGCCTCTGAGAAACATAGAACTTGAAAATGAGCGGGCTCAGCAGAGCAATTAACAAATGCTGGCAAATAACACGAACAAACAACAAGAATAAAACAAGAAACGCACGAGGCACACAAATCGAACAACATGGAACAGAATCAAGAAACCACAAGCCCCGGGTGCCACATTTGCTCTACGCAGCAAATGCCTTTGTTGCAGAGCTGATTTTGTCAGATTAGCGCTTCCGTTTCGTGCCCACCCTTTGTCTCATTGGGTGGGCTCTTTTCCTAGCGTGTTTTCATTGCTTTCCATTGATGCAAGTATCGTTGCTGTGTTCCGGTACTTTACCAGTTCTTTTCCATGTGTTTTTCCATGTAAGTTCCTTTCTTGCCCGTTTTGTTTTCCGGTACTGCCCCTTTTTGTCCAGTTTTAGTCGTTTGTTTTCAGACGCTTCTGTGAGTTTGCAAATTTCTTGATTTCAGATCTACTGGAATCCAATGGAAAACAGAGAAACACATTGGAACAACATCAAAACACACTCCGACAAATCAGACAGCATCCACGCCGCAGATCATGACATACCTGCCCCGCCGACTTTGCTGTTGTACAGGCAGAGACCACGTAAGCTTCCGAGCAGACATTGCCACAGGCAAGCATTCGTTTCTCATTACGCTAGTAGTTTCGACGTGCTGCTTCAGTATGCATCTGCTTTCGGATGTCGCCGCGAGTATGAATTGCCGTTTCGTCGCATCAGCATTCTCTTTTAGGGAGTTCTCCTCGGCAAAATTGTCTCTTCCACCAGGGTACGAAAGAAGCATGCCCGCAAAACGTTTGGGACAGCTACGAAAGCCAGCCTGTCTGAGACAGATCTGTTAGGGTCGTTCTGCGGAAGAGCAACTATCGCTCTCTTTCGAATGGGGCAACTGATGTCGAGAATATTGCCAATGTTTCCAGGGTTCATTCTGTTACTAGGACCGGGCTATCTTCACTTCAATCTTGTCTCGCACTTTGTCCAGGAGCTCGTCAAATCCGCCGCTATATGATCATAGGATTGTACCAGATGCAGCGAGGGAGCCGTTCGGAGAAGGTATGGCAGAGTTGTTATAACGGGTCTTCGTCCCAAAGGTCGCGTTTGGGGATTCGGCACTGAACCTGGCACGCAGTACCTGCAAAGTTATGCCGCTTCAATGGCTACACGGATTGCGTGCTATGTGGTTTTTCATCTGGTGAATTTGTACATGCACATACATACACCATTTGGCAGGAGCACGTCACGCACGGTTTCTCTTTGTGCGAAGTCCCTCAGTCTGCTGCTAGAGCCATCCTGCCGCCATAAACAGTTGGGATAGCAGAGATCTGAAATGCTCTTACCAGGACTTCGTCCGGCAATGACATGAGAGGTGCTATTCGGTCTTGAATGTTGTTGTGTCTTGTTGTGTCATGCCAGTCGCACGGCTCAGGCCAGCCCAACAATTCAACGGTGTCCTGCCAGCCCAAGATTCTTGGGCCCTGTCCCGTGCACGCCGGATGCATCTACTGACCTTGGTCGGATGAGCTGGGGTGTGACACAAGTGTGATGGGTCATGGCTTTGAGGTACTGCAGCGCTGAAGAGCACCTCGATCGAATTCGACCCACTTCGGTTGTGCGTGGCAGTGCGTGGCCTCCTTCAGCCCTTCCCGCCTCACCTTGTGGCTTTTAGGCTCCCGTGCTGGTCCACCCTTTATGATGCATCGTGGCGGCATGTCTGTGCGCATGGAGTACCGGTGCCGGCACCCATGGCCCCAAGGACGCGGGCCGAGTCGATGATAGCCAGTTGCCGGAGAAGAGGTGCCACGCAATAGCTACAGGCCTTTTGCCCCACCTGCAGCGATACTTCATGCAACACACGGCTTGCGTTCAGTTTGGCAGGCTGCCCTTGCGACGACACTTGGGAGAAGAGGTGTGAGTTCAAGGGGCTATCTGCGTGCCAGCTTAAGGCCAAAGACTGTCCTCTGGCTGCACCGAGACTGTTGGAGGCCGTGGCAGGTAAGGAGCCTTCAATGTGATCTTCAGAAGAAGCATACCCAAGACGAAGAAACAAATGCCTCATCACGTCACATGGGATCCTGGCACTAGGTCCCTTGGACTGCGGCGAGTATCCGATTTGCCATCACGCTTCGGGTGCTTTGGCCGGGATTCAGACCTTAACAATCGCGTGGTCTTCGTCGTCTGGGTTCACAGCAGATCCCACAGCCTTGACGCTTTGACGCCTTGACCGAGGCAGCAAGAGCTGTGCTGACAGTGCTGGGTGCAGCTGCGAAGACAACGAGCATCAATGCAAAGACCAGGACGCGCAGCTGGATGTACTGTACTTTGTGCATTTGTGCGATTAGGGCAGGGCCCTGGTGACCGTGCCGGCTCTTGCTTTCAAGTTCAGAAGACTCGGCTGTAGCAAGTCCAGTGAGAGGCCCGAAAGCGACCGTGCCTTCAGGATTCGGGCCTGTCCATCTGCCTGTGGAAGGCACGCAGGGTGACGGCGGTGCTTGCTCAAGAAGGAAAGGCAAACGGCGCTCGCAACAGTTTGCTCAGGAGCGGTTTCCGGGCTGCCCGAAGACTTGTGGAGATGACCAGCTCTGCAGCAAGACGTACTTTGAGGCTGGAGTGCAGCCGCCTGGCGAAATGCTTCAGTCCTCCTGTCGAAATCCGCTCTGCATAGCCCGAGGCGCTTCGTGGAGGAGTGCTACCCCGGATCCTGCCCAGACCCGTGGTGCGACAGCACTGCCAAGCAGCCTCTGGGACTGGAGAGACGAGACGTTGAGACGACTGGAGATGTGTGAGGCATGTGATGCAGAGGTGTCAAATGCGAAGCAGCGCGATTGAGGTGCACTGGTGCTTCCGGGACCTTCTGTGTCCCTCCGGAGTTCGACTGCCCTGAAGTATGTCAGGGACAAGAATGTCTTGTTGCGGCTCGGTTTAAGATTCACCGAGGCAGTGCCTGCGTCTGTTTGTGGCCTTTCGCTTGCCCGTCGGGTAAGGACAACTTCGACGAGCAAGGACGACGGCAGAGCTCTTCCTCTACGTGACACCCGGCTGGAAATGCCACGGTAGTGCAGTCACGGGCAGCCCCATTGCCTTATGCCTGCGCACGCTGGTGCAGTGTCCCATTCTAGGAAAGTGTTCCACGACAGCTCCTCTTGAGGCATTTCTGATGGAGCAGACTGCCCTTGCGGTGAGAATGCTCTTCGCTGCCGTGGCCAGCGTGAGGACTTCTGTGTGGCGGCGCTTTGGCACAAGTTGGAAGCCTTCCTGGGCTCGAGCTCAGTGCGAGATCTTCGGTGAGACACGCTGAGGCGAGCGAAGGCTGTCCTGAGACCTGTGACCTCACCACACACCGCTGGTGCTATGGCCTGTCCTTCACAGCGGCCGGCCGGTCCACCCAGCTTGGGCTATTTTCGTCCGGATCGATCCGTCTCAC